CAGCAACAACAACTGTAACAACAAAAACTCGGCAACAACATTTGCAATTTGCATAAAGCAGCGGCAAATAAATTCACGGTCAATGTAAAACAAAATCACGAACAAAACCAACAGCAACAGCAACAGCAACATGAAGCTGCAGGCAGAAAGCAAAGTCAAGCAGCAGGCTGGAAAACAAAAGAAAATGCAGCAAGCAACGAAGCCAAAGGGGAAAAACAGCGAAAAACGAACAAAATATAAATCAGTCAGCTACAAAATTCAACGGCAGCAGCGACGATGACGACGACGACGACGACGACTTGGCAACAGAGCAAAGCAAATTTGCATTTGTGGAGCCGCAAAGTGCGAGGCATGTACATACATACATAAATATGTATGTATGTATATAGGTATGAGCATATATAGATAGCTACATGCATGGCCAGGCTGTACGCGGCTGCTGGGCTGTGGTCTGGCTGCCAGTTAATGTGAGTTGTTGGTGTTGCTGTTGCTGTTGCTGTGGCCGGGCCTTGTGGGTGGGCAGCAACGACAGCAAAGTCAATGGCAATGCAAACACTGCGATGAGATAATATATTACTTGGAAATGCCTCTGCGCACACGCGCGCTCAACATTGGCTCAGATACATTTTCATCTGCCAGCAGAAGCGTCAGCTGTTGTTGCCAGGCGGCAACAGCGGCAGCAACAGCAGCAACAACATCGCCATGTTTGCCGCCATTTTTCTTTTGTTTTGTGGCATCAGCATCGGCTTCCGTTGCACGAAAAACTACGAAGTTGCTGAGCAAAACAAAATGGTGGAAGATGTCAAGTGCGACGTCGACGCGAACGTCAAAAAACAACGCCTAGCAGCAGCAGCAGCAGCAACAGCAACAACAACAGCAGCAACAGCTGCTCGCTCACAATGATGCGAATGTCCAGGTCAAAAGAGAGCAGCATCAAAACAGACGACAGGCAGCCAGCCAGCCAGCCAGCCAGCAAGCTAGCCAAGCCCAAACAACAACAACAAGAACGGCAGCAGCAACAACAACGATGAGCAACGCCAAGTTAATGGCAGCAACCTAAAACGGCGTCAGTTTTTCTTTTTTTTTTGCGGGGGGGGGGGGGAGGGTTTAAGGGGCCCTGACTGTCATTGCACCTTTTGTTAGGCCCCCATTGAGAGGCTTAGGGGTGGGTTTTTGGCAAAACAACTTAGGCGCACAGCCGCCCAACAACAACAACAACAGCAACATCCAGCACAAAGAGCGCCCAAACGAGCGTTGCTTGATGAGCGCGCCACTGAATCAGGGGCTCGAATTTGTGAGTGGGGGTTGACTGTATTTTTAGGCTCCCGCTTGTGGGTTAGACTTCCTTCCCCCAATCACGCTCTGGCTGCTCCTGATGATGACTAAGCGCTTGGGCGTCGCTGGCTTGCTTCAATATTTGTTGTTGTTTTCGTTTTTTCGTTGGGGTCGGTGGCGAATTGTTGTGGGAAAAAAGCTTAGGCACAGGGCGCTCGAGTGTTTAAAGCATTGTTCAGTAGTTTATGTGTCACTATTAGATAAATTATGCACTTAAGTGGCGGCTTTGATGAAGACTCCTTCTTCTGACTAAGAATAGTAAGATATTTAGTACGGGCTGGAGCGACCACAATTGCGGAAGCTTAAAAATGGTTTCAAAGGGTTGATGAGACGATGAGATATTAGTTCAAATGAGATGTTGCAAAAGTGGAAAAATTATAAGTTAAAGCCTTTTATGAGTCAAGCATTAAAATTGTTGTAAAGAGCAGATTATAATAGTATTGGCGCCGGAAAGCAAATTGTGCAGAAGAGAATTTTTGTCTAAAATATATAAAAATCTTTTTTTTTTTCAAAAATTACTATGTGTTGAAGCTCATACTGAATTGCTACTTTAAAGCAAAGTATTTTGTTTTTAATGAAAAAAAAAAATTGCTTCTTTGTATTTGAAGATATTGAATTGAAATATATATTAAAGGAAACATGGGTCGAGCTCTCCATTCAAAATGGCAACATTTTGTAGAACTCTTTCCAATTCCATCGTAAAACTTATAATCAGCTGCTGAGTCGCTTTTAAATTATTGTATTCACTTACAATGACTCATATTATAAACAAATTTGAAATCATAAAGCAGCGCACATTAAGGGGACAGCACAAATCTATAAATAAGATTTTAATGTGCATTAACAATGAGCGACACAAAGCAACAATAACTTTGACGGGTGTTGCTTTATTTTAGTTGCTGTTGTTGTTGTTGTTGTGGCAACAACGCCCGGCCAAGAGTTGTTTTCTATTTTACTGCAAGTTCGTTTTTTTTTATGCCTTTTGTTCGTTTTTTTCTCAATGTCCAAAAACCGCAGCTGACAATCAACGGCGACAAGAACAAACATAGCCGTGTCTTGTTGCCACTCGCCTCGATTGTTTGTCTGTTACGCAAAAGCCCACGACCACAAAACATAAAACTGACCGCACTGCTGAGCCTTGGCTATTTAAACAACCGTTAAGTCAAACACTTTGCAAATCCAAATGTATTTGCAAGATATGCATACTATATACGTGTATATGTATCTATGTAGCTCATGGTTGGTCCAGTTCGGTAGTCAGTCGTTACATTTGCCACTCGCCTAAGGTCAAATGGCGTTTAATAATTTGGGTTAACCAACCGGCCGATACAGCTGAACAAAAGGCTGACTGCAGATACATATCTAACTCATAGATACATAGATACTTTTCATACTCGCCCAGCGTCGAGTAAGACATTCGACTTCACTTTTTGGCGCGTGCCAATTAAACGTGCCCGGTTTTTTTGTTGTTGTTGTTATTGTTGTACGAGTAGTCGTTGTGTTGTTATCATTTTCTGGCCAACACGCCCACCTCTTTTGGCTCGAATCGACAGCGTTTTTTATTTTGTATTTTTTGTTTGTTTGTTTGTTACTTGAGTTACTTTGCGAGTTTTGCCGCGTTTGTTGTTGCTGTTGTTGTTGTTGTTGTTGGGCACAACATATCGCATGACATGCGCTTGTGAGCTCACGGGTTTCTCTTTCTACAGGCAGCGACCAGCGAGCTCCAACCACAAGAACCACGTCAAGTCGTTTGCATCAATTCGGTCAGATTTGTGGCTTAACTGACAACCACGATTATACAGAATTTTATACCTATATCCGTATAAAGTGGAAAGCGTGTAGAACTATTGAAGCACCTATTTATTGGTCCGTTATTCAATCAAAAAAATTCTTATTTATTTAGAAAAGTATTAATTCTAGATATTAAGCTTAATACTATCGCTGATTTTTGAGATTGGGAGTATTAGAATGATTTACTATATCATTAAATTATGCCTTCGTTATTTATAGAATGTTTTCATCGGGATTTTTTGAAAGCATATACAAGTATAGCTAAATACAAGTATAAACTTTAGGTTTTAACTTTTCCGAAAATTTGAGTCTTTAAAGCGCAATCTTCCGACTCGTAGTATTTTATAATTATATTTAAGTTCAATATACAGAGAGTATATTCCTCTTAAGAAGCCATATTGATATCTGCTATATAATTAATTGACCACATTAGAGATATTGTGATATATAGTATATTATGATATATATACATACAGACTGTATTAGTGTCACTTTTAAGATTTTAGGTGTCAATCCAATCGGACTTAAGCCTAGCCTACAAATATGCTTCAAAAGTGAATACCAAAATGATTTCTTTGTATAGAAATGTTTGTGGGTTTTCAAAATTTTTATTTAATTTTACAAGCAATTGGATGAATGGGACTTTAATTTATATTCCACAGTATTTGTGATGTGTTTCTGTAGCTGCATTTCTTTTATTTGATAACTTCTCTACATTATTTTGTTTGTTGAAACATCACTTAAGTCTGCTTATTGTTTATCCTCATTTATATTTGATCCCCTTCCGCCTTGGCGACTGTTTTTGGCTGTTTTAGTCTCCTACCCAGCTGTCAATATAGCTTCCACTACTTTCGCCCGAGGCCCGATCATACAGTTTGCTTGTGGGCTTCCTCTTCGTCCAATTCTCAGTCGGTCAGGTAATTTGATGCGTCGTCGTTGTTGTTGTACACTTTGCATTTTGTTTCTTCTGATAAGCCGCAAAATGCTTACTATTCAAAAAAAAAAAAAAGAAAAAAGAACTACTCATACATGCATATCTATATGCTGTGTGGGGTTGTTGTTTTTGGTTTTGTTACGGGCATGAGTCAATAGCCTTGAAAAGTGAAACTACCACAACGCAAAAGCAAATGCGCATCGTCCAGTTAAGAGAAGGCCAATTGTTAAGTGGACCCTAACTGCACAAAATCCAGTTGTGATTAGCCGCCATATACATAGCTATGTATATAATACTATTTCTTTGCATTATCAACTGCTTTTGAAAATTTAATTTCTTGGGAAATTTGTAGGACAGTAATGCCTCTACTCTCCATAGAGAAGAGCTGGATCGCAAACGACTTCAATTTTCAGCTGTTAGAACTGTTTAAGATCTCTATATCTCTACTTCAAACTAGGAATAATGTACAATTCAGCATTGAATTCCCCCATGAACTATGGTGTCATTCACGATATCTCCAATGGTTATTTTAAAATTTTGAATCAGCATTAAGAGATGCTCGCAACAGAATAATTTAAAAATTTTAATTTTCAATTTACTGTGATAAATAAAACTGTTTAATAATGTAATGTTTAGAATAATGTAAATTTCTAACTTTATTTCCCCGATGAACTGCAGATTTAATTACAATACCACCCAATAGTTCATTTTTAATTTTTAATCCGAGTATTGAGACGATATAGACATATCTGTAACGGCCATAGAAACGATCGAAGAAAACATCATTCTGATCTACATGTCTTTAAACAATTTGGTGCTCTATAAACCCCTATACTTGTATATTGTAAAGCTCTGTGGGCGACTTAATCGTTTGCGATTCATCCTTTATTCAAAGTGCTTCAATCGGCTTTAATAAAATGCGCATTAAACGCACACTTACCACTGGGCTGGACATTGTAGAGGCGTTGATGGTGTTGGAACCACTCGCAGAGGGCAATGAGCACCTGATCTGTGGGCATTGGCATTGGCGACTGCATGGGCGTCTGCGTGGCCGATGTTGTGGTATTCGGCGACTGGGAGGCCACACTGCTGGCGCCATCCGATGAGGCTGACGAGGATGCGCCCGACGATGTTGAGGCCGACGACGATGACGTGGAGCCCGAGGCGCCCAACGAGCTCGAGGCGGTATCGTCGGCGCCACCCGCGGGTAGATAAAAGGGCACGGCCATTATGGTGTGGATGGTGGTGGTGGTGGTGGTGGTGGGTGTTTCGTGGGTGACTGTTTGTTGTTGTTGCTGTTGCTGGTGGGGAGGCACTTTTGGTTTCTCTGCCTTTTAGCGCAGTTCGTGGTTTTGTTTTTTATCGCCTTTGCGTTTGTTGTTGTGGTTGGCTATTATTATTTAGTCTCTGCACTTTGATTTTTAGATTATTTTGTATTTTTTATGCAAAATTTTAAATATTAAAAATTTGTGCATTTTTTGTGCTTTCAGTTTGTGAGTATTGGCTGATGTTGTGTTTTTTATTTTTTATTTCGTTGTGGTTGTGAAATGTTTTGAAAATTTTCTTAAACAGTGCACACAGAAACACTGAAAGTATTTGTTTTGTCGTTTCTTTTTTAAGATAATATTCTGGTTAAGTAATTTAAAACACTTGGTCGTTTTGTCGTGTAATTAGTTTTAACTTTTTTATTTGAAGTTTGTTAAATTTTTTGCATTTTGTGCATAGAACGTCGTTTGCAACAATTTGATTTTAGAAGAAAACACAAACAATTCGGTTACTTCGAAATTTTCTGTTACTTTGCAAAATTTTTATTATTCTTTTTTTTTTTTTTTGTTTTTGAAGTCGTCGTAGAACATGAAGCACTTAAAACGTGTCGCAAACGCAGACTGCGATTTCTACTGGTTTGGGGAAGAAACACGTCTTACTGGCTTCACCGCTCGTATAGAACTGAACGTTCGGTAGCGACTCAAACTACAGCCGCGCAAGAACACAAAACGCAGCAAACGGCAGCAGCGACGCAATCGTCTGACTGTGAACTGGTTGCGAGTGAGGTGCGGGCCCGAAAAGAGGGACTGCTGCGGAGGCAGCCGAGCAATGAGTAGGCGCACAGTAAAATAAAAAAATAATAAATGCAAGCAGAGAGCTCTGAGCGGAGCAGCAGTGGTGGCCAGTTGCAGTGCCGTCAACTTAGCTATTTCCCCGCCAGCTCTGTAGCCGTTGGCGGGAATTGTGCGTTTTTTTTGTGCCCACTACAGCTTTAGCGTCAGAGTAGGTAACTACCCAGCAGTTATTGGATTGATGTGTTTTAAATAGTGCCCTTATCTAAATACATAAATATGGTGTTATATTATGGATCGTAATAATATTTTCCATCATTATATGAGAATGCCTGAAACGAGCGAAGTAAGCAGCTTGTTTAGCCATTTCCAGCTGGTTTCTTGTTGTCGATCTGGCTATTTCTGCCACTCGAAAACCCGCAGCACTGGTTGCAGCATGCAGTTACTGTGACTGCCAGCGGGTAGCGGGTGATTGTACAAGCACATGCATGTCTAGTCGCAGGTACTGCTGTCCCAGGAGGCGCAGCGGGGAGTAGCAACAGCACTAGCAGCGGCAAAGAGTGTACAAAATCTCTGGCATGCTCTTTACAAAAACAAAACAAAAATGAACGAGGGAGCAACTCAGTGAGTGAGAGAGTGAGTAGGCGGACGACGCATGTGTGTCTGTGTGTGTGAGTGTGTGTGTTGTGTGCAACACAAAGATCTTGTTGGCGCAGGCAGCAGGTAACAGGCTCAGCGAAGACAGCAGAAGCGGCAGCAGCAGCAGCAGCAATAGCGACAGCGCTGCGAACGTCGAAGCAAAACAAAAAACGGGATTGCAATTTGAAGCGCTTGGGGCATGGGCGCTTTGGAAAACAATCAAAGAGTAGCAAGTGCTCTCTCCCTCTCTCTCTCTCTCTCTCTCTCTCTCTCTCTCTCTCCCTCTCTTGGCTGTACTCTCTTTATTTAAAGTTGAGCTGTTCGCTTCGCGCGCCAAAAAGCCTACGTTTTGGAAAAAAGTAGTAGATGCATAGTTCATAAAAAGTAGTAGAAATTGCATTTACATAAGAGTACATACATATGTACGGCTATGTATGTATGAGTGTAGTTATTGCATTTACCAAAGCTTATATTTTATGATATAATTATAATAAAACACAATTTTATAAGTGTTTTTTGGTTTTTGATATTTCACCATTTTTAAATAAAAATAACTGTTCATATTTGTGTGCCAATATTTATAGGTATTACCTCCCTTGGTTTTAAGTGGGGTTTTATTAGATTAGATATTATTTGTACGCGAATTTCACAATTTCTTCACATAAGGTGCAATACTTGGACGCGCCTCCGTAAACGACTTCAGAACCTGTTTGGCACAACCTGCACTCTCCAGCTCCCCAGTGCTGCCAAAAACAGGCTCTCATATTTATGCTACATCATGCGCTCTGCTGTTGTTGTGGTTGTTGTTGTTGTTGTTGTTGTTGCTCCTTGGATGTGTTTTGCGCGCGCGAAACAGAGAAGCAAAGCAACACGCCAAAAACACAAACTAAGCGAATAGACTATGACAGTTTCCTTTGTTCTTTTATTTAACAAAAATAAAGAAGAAGCAAAAACACGCACAATAAAAAATATTTCTAAAAGGTATAAAAAAAGTCATTTTCTAATTTGAAACCTTTTTATGGCTGCCTCTATTTTCACTCTATCCCGCTCCCTCTCTCTCCTTCCGCTTGTCTTTGTTTTATCAGCTCGGCTTGAAGGTGTGGCTCAGCGTTGCTGAAGTGTGCGTGTCACGCGTCTGTGTGTGTGCGCGTGTGTATCTTATGGATATGGATTTGTATCTTATGCATATTGCAGTGTGTGACAAGCATTAGACCAACATTACGGCCCATAAATTCAGTGGCTTAGAAGAGCAGAAGAGCTCTCGGCAGCGAGTAAAGTGCTTTCAATGTTAATTAATATTAATTTACAGTGGAAAATTATGGCGTGCTGCTGAAGAGAGGCAGAATATAACGATAAAGCCCAAAGCGCTCGATAAAGATAAGAGTGCAGCATAATGGGAGCAACAACAAGAACATGATGCGAGGATTGCATCAGATGGTGAAATAAACAAAAATCAACATGCCCGTGCATGCAACAAGCGCCTAGAACAGACGACCGAACGGACGGACATGGAGGGTGTGTCAAGTGCGCAAAAAGGGGCTCGATTTTATGATTTCTAGACACACATACATACATACATATGTACATATTTATATCACATGCTCTCTCTTGTATGTGCAACACTTCACATTGTTTTTGTTTGGTTTTGGGTTTTTTTTTTGTTGTTGCTTGTGATAACAAAGCTTTTTCTTTCATTAGGCACTCCAATTACTTGCTGGGACGGTTGATTGGCAGGGGCCTTGCCGGCTGGGCAGAAGAAGGAACGACAGACGAGCAGTCGCCGGACTCTGTCTTCCTCTGCCTGCAGCTGCCTGTTCGTCTCTTTTGTTTTTGTATTTTTTGCGAATCAACTGATTAAGCGTAATTTGAGAGCAACGTTGTCGTTGAATTGGCTGTGGATTTTTAGATTCGATAGCCCCTAAATGTGAGGTGTATATGTATGTGTGTGTATTTATATGGCCTTGAAAGGCAAAGTGGAAGTCAAAATCGTATTATACACATTTATGCATCAATGTTTCGTGTTACTTACTTATCTTATGTAAATAAAATGGGACATACATAAATATGTACTATATAGATGTGCAGATATGAATGTACATATGTATTTGTCCTTATTTCCTTATTTAAATATAGTGTAATTGGTAATACCCTTCATTGAAAAGTGTTCGTTTGTAACAGGGAAGAAAAGTACGAATGACAGTACGATGTCAATCATTCTTCCTCCCACTGTTTAGTTTCATAGAAACTATATGATTTAAGAATAGTTTTTATATTTAAAGCTTGTTTATTTAAATACATATGGAAATCAGATTGAATATTGAGAATTTTGAAATCATATCTGATGGTTTTTATCACTTTTGGGTTCCTATCATTCTTATAAAGGACAGTATAGAAACATATACATAGTTAATGACCATGCAAATGGCTGAATTCCTTTCATTCTTCTAAAAGATATTATAGAAATAGTAGCGCATATAGTTCATCATTATGGAAGAATAAACTTTGATTTTAGAGGGATTATACTTTGTAGATCGTAAAAGAGGACTTTATGTTAAAAAATGAGGTTTAATATTTTGTGTTGCACTACGACTGTTCTAACCCATGATAATCATTTCTCTTAATGGTAGCAACTATTATTAAAATTGTAAATTAAAACATTTCTGCTGAAAAGGTAAAATACAAAACGATCTATTTTTTCCCCCCAACATTTTGTGTATTTTAATATAAATAGTCGCCTAATTGAAATCCACAGCCCCTTTCGTTTTCAGCCTGATAGGCAAAGGCAAAGTCAACAACATCAATAATAAATTGAAATTACTTTAAAAACCGCAGGAAAAGTAATGCGAAAAAAAATTAAATGACTTCCCTGTTGACATTTCTGGGTCAGCGACCCAAACTAAACGAGAGAGCCGTCGAGCCGCCGAGCCGCCGAGCCACCGAGCCACCGCAGCAGTCGATGAAGTCGATGGTTACGACGCGACGGCTGCCCAACCCATGTTTACAGCAGTTGTTGTTTGTTGTTGTTGTTGATGTTGCTGTTCTTGTTCTCTTTTTGTAAGTTTTGCTTCTTTTTTTATTGTTTATTGAATATGATTATGTGTGGCACGCTGCAAAAGCGAGCGTAAATTTATTTATTACACAATTTCGCAAGAACAACAACAACAAGAACAACAATGACAGCAACCATAAACAAGAGCTACAACAACAATGAAAACAAATAAATTTTTGCATTGGCGACAATGCAAAAATGTGACGAAAAGGCCGCCGTCCACTTCAATAAAAATAAATAATAATTCATATTCACATTTGCCATAAGCATCCATAAGCAGCCAACAACAGCAACAGCAACAGCAACAACAACAACCAATTAGGCGTCCTCAGTCGTGGGTGGGGTGGGGCGCTGAAGGCAGGGAGGGAAGACTGCAGTCTAAGCAACTGTAAATTGTACGCCTGCTGCACGCGCCTGTGGCATGATGGCCTCCAAGTTGGTGACGCTTGCGCAGTTGCAGCAACCGCAGCCACGATCGCCACAGACTGCAACTGGAGCTGTAGCCGAAGCCGAAGCTGGAGCTGATCTACTATGGACGAGCATAGTTGCGGGGTTCTACGCAAATTACCGTTAAATTAAGCGCTTGCTTTCAGTCACTTAACCATT